CCTCTTTGTCCTCTTCTTCCTCCTCCTTCTTCTGTCTTCCCCTCCCTCTCCCTTTCCATCCTCTTGGGTCCGTTTCTCTGGAGAACTCTGACTAACACATGGTTCCTCTCTGTGTCCTATTCTGCTCTCCACAGATTTGCCTCATGCTCTGTCTTGGCTGCCTTAGCTCAAGTTCCACTAGGACCTTGTCCAAATTGCAGAAAAAGGGTTCTGATGGGACCAGCATGTGTGAAATGTGGAGCAGGGGAAGTCGGCATTGGGCCTTATCCTGTATATATTCCCATCTAGAGCCACTACACCAGCAGGGGCTGAGGCAAGTGGAGATGGAAGGGCCATCTCCTAAAGCATCTCTGCTCCACCTGAGTCCTGTGGCCTCAGTCCATGCCATGCTGTTGGCTACTTGGGTCAGGCCAAGGTCATCTGGGGCTTCTGTCACTTTGACCTCTTTTGGGCATGGCAGCAGTGCTCCATTCCACTCATCCAGATTAAGGGGGGTTTCTTGGTCACAGAGTGAAAGCCAGGGAGGGTGTCTCTCCATGCTCTCCACATCTTAGAGGCTCCCAGGGGTGACTGGAGACTGAAGACCCAAGTGTTCATGGAAGGGAGACCATGTTTGCTTTTGCTGTGTGGTTGGAGTGGGTAAAGAGTTTTATGTGGGGCTGGGCTCTCAGGGGAAGTTCATGGTTAAAGCAGAATAAGGACTGATGACAGCTGTAGAGCACTTGCCTAGCATATGGGAATGTGAGAATAGAACCGGATCTCAGGCTCACAGTATGCTCTAATCCTGGGCCCTTAGGGTAGGTAGCATGCACCCCATCACAGCTTCTGTTCTTCATGTGTCCATATTGAATTACTGCCATGGGGTTTTGAGGATCAACAAGGCAATGTGACTTCTTGTCCCCTGAACTACCCAGGCCCTGCTTTTGCTCACACTGTCCCCTTTGCCTAGAGCACCTATCAGAGTATGTTAGAGTTTTATTTGTCTCTGAAAAATACCTGAGAGAAATAGTTTAAAGGAGGGATTGCTTGTTTGGGCTCACAGTTTCAGAGGTTCCTGTCCACCATGGGCTGGCTCCATTGCTGAGGGTCCGAGGCAAGGCTGACACATCATGAAGGGGAGTATATGGCAGAGCAGGGTTGCTCACTTCTGGGTAGCTGGGAAGTAGAGAGAGACAGGCAGGGGCCAGAGGCAAGTTTTATAACCTTTTAGATCCCTCCTCCAGTGACCTCCAATGAGGCTCTTCCTTGGAAAATTCCTAGCATCTCTCAATAATATCATCAAAATATGAATCCATCAACGGACTAACCCACTGATTAAGTCAGAGCCCTCTTGGTGATTGTATTCACCAGCTAGGGAACAAAACCTTTAACCTATGTGCCTTTGGAGAGGGAACACCCCATATCCAAATCATAACATGGGTTCTGGGATTTCACCACAGGGCAAGCTCATCAGCTCATCTGGCATTGTTTCATGATGCTGGCAGCAGACATGAGATTCCTGAGTCAGAGACAGGCAGCAAGAGCGTCACAGTTACGTCTGTTCTTGTCCTCAACCTCCGGAGGGCGACACACAGAGGCCCAGATGAACACATACACTGTGACACAGCTGAGAAGCACTGAACTGGGGGGAACGCACCCCTGTTCCCAGGACCCCCTTGCCTTCTATAAGCACATTTCCTCTTTGGGTGAACATATTACCTCATCCTTTGAGGTTGCACACACAACTCTGAAGAATCACTGGATAGAGAGCAATCATGGCCCTGTATTCTAGGTATACCCAACAAGCTCAGGACCCATGGAGATAGCCACTCCCAACATCTGTCTCCCCTGTTTAGTTGAACACTACCCTGATACCTTGTGATTGAAGATTCCCCAGACCTTCCCTCACAATACTGTCTCCTCTTTTGTAGTTTACTTCTAACCCTCCTCTCAACTTGTCTTTTGTGTTCACAGCTGTCCCTCAGCAACCAGCAGAGTGCCAGTACTTGAGAGCAGTGGGTCCTCTTTATTCCTGCTCCTTACACCCCATGTTTGTGTCTAGCAGGTGCTTAGACTAGATTCATTGAGTTGGATGGAATTAAGATTTTCTTTTCTGCTTGATTACACTTTTCCAGAGTCTGCTCCACCACCCCTTGGAATGTTTTCAGGATTCCAGAAGCTAAAAATACCACCCCAAAGTCACTGGAGGACTCTTCCATGTAAGGAGCCAGACTGGAGATGCCTGATGCTGAAAGTTTGTGCCCACCAGGTGGCACCCTAACCAATGTATCTCCTGATACCTTTTAAGAAGATAGAAGGATTCTCTTCCCTTCCTATTGTTTGTTTCTTAGGCCCCCTGCCCACAGAAATCCCCTCACCAGTCCAGCACCCAAATTCATCTGCTATCAGTGGGTCAGAGTCTCAGGCTTCTCAGTTAAAATCTGTATTCAGGGAGCACGGAGGACTTCTCTCCAGGGGATGCCAAGGAATGCTGAGGGAAAAGCTGGGGAGTTGAGGTCAGAAGATATAGGTTTGAATTCCAAGACTGACACGAGTTCTGTTTCTTTGGGCTTAAACTTTCTGAGTCCCTACAAAAGCAGCTGAGAATCTAATGTGGAAAATACGTAAAAGTATTTGGAATGTGGAGGTGAAGTGAGCTTTACCTGGGTTCTCCTGTCAAGTCTGCTGTCCCTATGAGTGGCTCAGAGCTAAGAACAATCATTTCACAGGGTTGGTGTAACCATCAAGTAAAACAGTGAATACAAGTGCTTGTCACAAGGCCTGGCATTCGAGTCATAAAACCACACACATATTGTGCATCCCTGGCCTCTCAACCCAAGCTCAGTATTTAATAACCACTCATTGTCTACTTACAGGGTAAAATAATTTTACAGATGAAGAAACTGGGGCACAAGAGGGTTAGGGAGCCCCTCCTCCAGGCCCAGCACTGGGAAGTAGTGGAGCAATAGCAAGCTGTCTCCGGGTCATGCTGTCACACATGCTGTTACACAACATCATTTGTTCATTTATAATATGCATTTGGAACTTTCTTGAGTATTGTCTACAGGCTGGGTTGACAGTGAGAGGCCACAGTTTTTTCCTCTCAAAGGGGAGTCACACTGCTGGAAAGGGACTTGCTCTGCCAGGACATAGGCCACTGAATTGACAACCAGGAGAAGAAGTAGGAACTCCACAGTATAGAATCAACTGGAGGTCTGATGTGGGATGGTCTCCCAGGTAAAAGGGGCTTTTGTAGTTCCATTACTGTTCCTGCAGCCACTCGGTCACCAACTTCATTGATACGAATTGAGGATCTCCTATGTGCCAGGCACAGGCAAAGATGGATAAGACATGCTAGTTAACCTGCGGTTATGATGTAGCAAACTTAGAACTACTGCAGAGGCATGGTTCAAATGGAGGCCTAGAAACACAAATTATCAACAGCCTGGGAAATTGTACCAAAAGCCAGTAGTGTTTAACCTGGCTATTTAGGCATCTGCCCAGCCCAGTGGGGTCTGGAAAATGAAGGGCATCCTGAGTTTATGTGGGAAACTTGTGGAAATTGATAGGATTGGCATTGAGCATGGGTGAGGGAAGGAAGTGGAAAAACCAAGGAGCTGGAAGTCAGTTGGGGACAGATTGTGAAATATGCCACATAGACAAGACACAGCTCTATGCTGTGGTCAGTGAGGAAAATACTGCAGAGAACAGTCAGGTCTGTTTTAGAAAGCACACAAAGGTTGGATCTGAGGGAATGAGGAGAGAAACAAGCAGTAACCAGTTTCCTGGTCTGAACCCCTCCAGGCTTCATTTTCCTACTCAGAAAAATGAGGAAAAATCACTGTTCTTATCTCTTGGGTTGTTTCAAGGAGTGCCTGAGAATACATGTAAAGGGCAGGCACGGTAATGCCAATAAGCCATGGCATGGTTGGGCTCCATGCCAATTGGCTGAGCAGTTAAGCACATGGAATTTGTTGCCTTTTGGGCCTGGGTTTGTGTCCTAGCATGTTAGGTGCCATATTTTTAATCTAGACAAGATGCAAAGATTGTCACAAAGGGTTGGCTAAAAGCATTTGGGGTTGCCAAGCCCTGTGCATTGTGGATGATGCAGCCAGGCCTCTGGTGGATGATCTTTACTCTGACCCAAAGAACTCCAGTGAGGCAGTCGCGTCAGCCTGGCTTCGGACAGGATGAGTTTGAGGTGGTCAAGTGCCGACATTGCTGGTGTCCAGGTGAGAACCACTTTCAGGGTTCTTTCCTGGCACCCAGGCGAGCCAGGAAATCTCGATGGGGGCTGTGACAGGCGAAAGGGCAACCAGGGGGGTCCAGCCAGACGCTGGGAGGACGCTGTCATAGCCAGCCAGCTTCCTTCTCAAAGATGGGCCGAAGCCCTTGAGGCTGGGAAGATGTGGCTCCAAATGTGGCAAACTTGGCCCAGCAGCGCGGGCAGCCAGGACTGAAGCCTTGCGGAGGGCTTGGGGTTGCTGGCGCTCGGGCCTGGCCAGAGGATGAAGGAAAGGGAGCGGAGGGGAAAGGGAGGGGGGGCGCCAGGGTGGAGATCGCGATGGCAGGAAGCCGGGAGGCGCGAGCAGGGGTGGAGACCGAGGAGGGGACGGGCAGAGGACGGGTAGGAGGGCTGCAGAGAGGGAGCGAGAAAGAGGAGGAGAGAAGAGAGGAAGGGTGGGGAGGAGAGGCAGTGCCGAAGATTCCGAGCCGAGGGAGGCGGGCAGGCCGCGGCGGGAGCAGCGAGCACCGGGGCCCGGCCGCCCCCGCGAGCAAGGCGCCGCCATTC